GTCAGGTGTACAGTTTACTGAGCACTGGGACTCAGTATCGTTTACCAGCACAGACACGGAGACGCGCTCAGCTTCTATTGAGAGCAAACAACCAAGTGAACCCTCCGGCTGCGTCCAGTAGACCCACCAGAACCGGATCTTGGGAATTTAACGAACTCAACGGCCATTTTCAACAAAACGAGCGCAGTCAAGTGGATGCGTCTGTCCTTGCTGCTGATACGGATCATTATATACTCGCCTCGGGACGACCTGGCACACGCAGTCAGTCCCCACCCCGCAGCCAAACCACCACAGAGGCTGTGGGATACTCCGGGTCCCTCCGGTCACAGTCCAGCAGCTCTTCAGCTCTTTCCTCCGTCCAAGAGTTCTCCGGCAGCGGAGTCCCACGAGGAGGCCGTAGTGCACTTGGAGATGATACAGGTGTACAACGAGCCAGCGCGTCACAGGCAAGATCGCCGGCTTTTACCCACAGCCAAAGCGGCAGAACCAGGTCCCAGAGCACGCATTCAACTGTTCGATCACCTGCCACATCAATATGGGTGACCACGGCAGAGGACGCTGGGAACGCACGTCATATAACCCAGGAGACCACGCTGGGAGACGCTCCCAGTGCGCGCGGTGTGCAAAGAGCGCACACTCTGACCAGAGTCACGCCAGAGTTAATTGTTTCTCCCACAGCACTGTACAGCAACGCTGTAGAATTACAATTTCCACGTAGCGGACCCGATGCCTCACGCACTACAGACGCGAGTGACCCACGAGACCCGCACAGTATTCATCACAGGAACTCGGTTTTCTATAACGTTTACCCACCAGACCGCAGGAACAGGCTGAGTGCGCGCCCTCCACCAGGAGCCGGCTACGGGACCAGGTTCTTCCACAACGGTGAGACAGAAGCACCGCGGCAAAGACACCAACGTGTATTAAAAAGTAGTTATGGAGAGGCACGCATCTTGAAGCGTTAGAGACATTATCACGCCCAATCAATCAAATTGGTTTGGCGCCGAAAGGAGTGCCGAGCCCCACATTTAAATCCCATCTAATGCAGATTTTAATGCATTTTAATGAGAACCGGAGTTAATGACAAAACTAATGTCTCCCGTGCCAGAGCCTCTGAGCAAAGTTAAAATTAAATGCTTGATTGATAGACTTTGAGAGTCATTAGTGATTAGCCAGCAGTGATGGAGAAATTACTTCTGCAGCTTACGACAGTATATCTAAAGTTGTCCATTCATTATTCTTCCCAAGCAGATTCTTATTATGCTGATCTGTATAGATACAGGTTTTGTGACGTCTGCATAGTCAAATCAACACATGCAGCACTTTTCAATAAGGATGCAGTTTATTAGACAGTGTAGAACAGAGCTGTCAAACACAGAGAAGACAGACTCCATCAACAAAGCTTTATGTTTCATAAGTACAGGACAGTCTGGTCAGTGATCTAAGAGCACTTTTTCTTTTCTTTTACACATTTATCATGTAGAAAAATTCAGCTATTCTGTTAAAATTGCCCTTTGTTATCTTATATTCAGATATCTGAGGGATTAAATGTGGACATTTATGTGACTCTTGATGAGTAAAATGAGTTTGAAATCCCATTAGTGGAAAGTTGATGCCCCAGTTTTTGCCTTTAGGTTGTTTTAATCGTTTAAGTTTCTGATTTTTTTTCCTCTGCAGGTCTTCCAGACTTGGTTCCTGACCCTTACTACATCCAAGCAGCCTCGTACATTCAGAGAGCACAGATGTATGCACTTCGCTGTGCAGCTGAGGAGAACTGTCTTTCCAGGTGCTTTATTGGGCTTTATATGAATCTGTCTGTGAAGTCAAAAATAATTTAAGTTGTTCTTCACTGACATTTTACAATACAGGTTATTTTTGCTGTGCAGCAGAAACGTGTGACGTCAGGCAGGACAAACACATTTACATCGAGATAATAAAAGATAGGACTTCTTTGAGCCTGCCTCACTGTGTTGGCCCACATCCTCCCATTTGGATGCTACAGCTGAGTGACAGAATGACTGGACGCAAACCTGGCTGCTGCCTGAGATTCTCTCCTCTGATCTGAGCAGCCGCTCTGCCAAATAAAATAAACTCTGAAATGAAAGGCAAAGGATTTCTGAGGTGAATGCAAAAACTGCTGAGGCAAGACCAGAAACCACCTCTGCAGTAAATCATTGCGTCTGCCGCTCGGTGAGCAGGAAATAGAGTAAACTGTGCAGTGAGGCATGTCATGTATGTGTGGAGGACAAAGACTTAAAAAGGTGGTGCAAGTCGATTCCGGCTGCGCACTGAGTGTTTAAAACCCTCCGAGTGTCATCTCGGCACACAGTGAAGGTGCTCCAGGTATCTTGGCTCATTTCCTGTTTCCTTTTCCTTCAGCTCTGCATATCACCCGAGTGTGAGTGACCTCGACTATCGAGTTCTGCTGCGCTTCCCACAGCGAGTGAAGAACCAGGGAACAGCAGACTTCCTCCCAGTGAGACCCAGGCATGAGTGGGAGTGGCACAGCTGTCACCAGTGAGTTAGAAACACCATATATGTCCTCAAAGTCACACCCCAGTTCCTGCAGAGTGATGTGTGGACACAGGATTTATAACTAACAGATAAAACATTAAAACATGTCCGAGGGAGAAGTTAATTTTAGGAAACTGTAGTTTCGCAGCCAAAGATGCCTGAGGTGAGCGTTTTAGGAACATCCACTCTGACATCCCACAGAGCCAACAGTTCAGAAACAGCTGAGAGTAGACCAAATCTCTTCATCTGTTTTAATTGGGGTAATTACACGTTTTGTTTTTTGAAAAAGCGAAACATGAGATTTAAGAGAATGTTACGTACTGTAAATACAGCAGAAAGGACGGTTTCCTGAACACATTAGCAGAGAAGATTTCTCTCCTCTTCAGGCATTACCACAGCATGGAAGCATTTAGTAACTACGACCTGCTGGATGTCTCCACTGGACTGAAGGTTGCTGAGGGACACAAAGCCAGTTTCTGTCTAGAGGACACGTCGTGTGATGCAGGAGTACGGCGACGCTTTGCCTGCACTACTCACACACAAGTCAGTTTGCACTTTTGTATCTGTGCAGGATTTTCACTGGTTACGTCTTTCTCGTAAAAACGTAAAGATTTCCGCTTTTAAAGCATCGCAGAAGCAGGTTGTGTAAGTTTGGCGTCTTCTTAGGGTCTCAGTCCTGGATGCTATGACACGTACCACGCCAACATCGACTGCCAGTGGATCGACATCACTGATGTGCCGCCGGGGAACTACATACTCAAGGTGGGTTTGCAGGACGGATTTATATTATTTATATTATTATTCACATTTCATCTCTAAATGATTGTTGTTTATTTGATTTTCAGGTAACGGTGAACCCCTCTCACCTGGTCGAGGAGTCTGACTTCTCCAACAACGAGGCTCAGTGTGACGTCAGGTACACGGGAAGCTACGTCCAGGCGAGAAACTGCAGGATCGTTGTGTAAGTCAGGTCAAGTATTCTCGATTTTCACGAGTGACTCTGGAGGTAAAAATGTTTAAAGTATTTTTTTTCTTTGCTTCACAGGAGCTGACCTGACAGCAGACTGAACATCTCACAGGCAAACATGTACTTAATCTCTTCTTGCTGCTCCTAATGAGCAGCTGCTGATACCATCATCTGATGTGCTTCTAAATGAATCTGTATTTATATGATTTATTGTATCCAAAGCCAGGATGGCTCAATTTGACCTTTTACTTATTTATATGAATATTCATTTTAAGTGGATTTTGTGCTGTTGGCTGTTACTGTGAGACTGACTTGGTGCTGACTGTGGGGAAGCAGTGGTGCTCCAGCTTTCCTCCATCACATCTATTAGGATTTTGTCAGAGACCAGCAAATATACCCTGAAGTATACAGCGTGCCGCTGCTCTTATTTAAAAAGTTCAAAAGCTGTCACGTGTGGATTATTTGCAATGCTTTGCTCCAGCAGCAGTTTATAGTTTTATGTATTCTACTGAAACAAGGCTCGACTTTTAAAAGCTTTTTACTTTATGGTAAAACTTATTTAGATTTCTGAAAACAAAGGCAACCCCGACATCTAATTATTGAATTAGTCTAATTACAATTGGGAGCAAATATTTCTCAGCCTGAACTCATCTGGCTGCCCATTAACACCAGTTAACACGAGCTGAGAGCCGGTTCAGTGTCGAGCGGTACATTTCCTAAATGCTTTAAGGAATAACACACCTCAGAGAAATACCTGAAACGATCCCACTTTGCTCATTAACGTCATCAAAATAGCAGCGAGAGAACGAGAGCGCTGTGACACCAGTGTGTTTTTGCGTGCTTGTTGTGTTGTGTTATTGCTGGTGAGTGATTGGGAAAACATTTAGTCACCTGGCAGTGGCTCCATGTGAGACGCCTGCGAGTGTCTCGCTCTGTTTACACTTTGTCACCGAATTTAGTCGGGACCAACTGGGATGCTGTCTGGAGGAAATAACCAGTGCAAAACACAATTCTTCCTCTTTGCTCCGTGTTTTTATTATTTTTTAAATGAGGCCTGTTTGCCTCACAGAAGATTGGCAGAAAAACAAGCAGGAGGTATGTCCTGTATTGTACGGGCTTTTTCTTTGGCACTCGTCATTAGGCACAGCAGGACTGTCGTGGGAACCATTCCAAACCAAACATGCCCACTGCAGTAATTTGAACCTCAGCAGTAAAATGGAAGCTTTTAGCAACAGTGAGCCTAAATGAAAGAGGATTTTGATGAGATGCATATGCTAACAGGTGCAGAGTCGTGGGAGTTTGTTCTAGGATCACATTCACTGAATCATTTGCAGAGTTTGTCTGTGGCAGCATCAAGTCACAGCCTGTCACCAACTTCTCCAGTTCCTCGCACAATAATAGTAAGAGTCTGTCGGTCCTGATGAGGTCACCTCTATTTGTTATGTTTTAAGGACACAGAGGAAATCAAATACACACACTGATGCAAGAGATGGAAAAACTACCAGAGATGACATGGAAAGCATGCTGCCTGCACCGCATCCTGTATAACCGCATCACACTGTGCTGAAACCCGTTTCACTCATCCTCTTATCCAAACATGGACTCTGTGCTGAGCCTACACCGTCTCTGGCCAGCGAACCATCTGAGTGTGAAAGAGGGTCAGGGCAGAGCCACCTCCTCCAGCGCTCCCAGCTGCTGTGTGCTAAGGGTGGGCCGGTGCACTAAGCCTGCAGGGTGTGGGCAGAGCTGCCGGTCGCTCCGGCTGGAGATGACAAGGAGGAGAGAAATTCCACAGATCCACTGACGGGCAGGAAAACCCGACTGCAAACTGCTGACATCAGCGACGGAGCCATTCTTACTGTGGGCTGAGTGTCTGTGAGGCCGTGCCCAGACTGTCTGAGACGCCCAGTCAACAAGTGTCCGAGCCAAGAGCCCAGACCCCAGCGACACATGATGGACGTCAATATTCCTGGGTACAGACTTAGCCTGGAACAGTGTCGATAAGCAGTCACAGACTAAAAATATGCACGTGTGTTAGTTTCACGCCCATATTGTTACGCTTGTCTTGTGACTTCACTAAAGCATCACACTTGTATTAAAGATGCATTATCAGATTTTTACAGTCACTTAGCGGCAGCATAACCGCCTATGTGAGCACAACACTGATCACCCCCTGCACACAAACTCAGACATTTATGTGCAATTTAATTCTACTCTGCATTTGGTAATTGTTCTTAATTCATTTTTTCCTGCCACAGACTGTGGGTAAGAAAACACTCAAAGACACTAAAACACATCACCTTTTAAAATGCAATCAGATCACAAATGGACAGCACTAAAAGCTTGTGCGAAGTACCACAGCGGGCAGCTTAGAGGTGTGTGACAATAACAGGTGTGGACAATGACGCGCTCCACTTGTGTCCAGATCACTGAAACGCATTTTAAAAGGGGGCATTAACAGGTCACAGACTCCACTTAATCACAGCTTTGTGCGCCACGATGTCAAGTGTTCTCTTTAATGCACTCCGAGAGAACATTATCACAGCGCTGACCAGCCACTTCATTAGGTACACCTATTCATCTGCATGTTAACACTGCAGAAAATGATGTTAAACAATAAGAGATGCCTGTTAATCTGTTAAACTAAACCTTTTGAAAAGAGATCATTTTGGTTTTGGGACTGACTCAAACATACGCTCACTGGCCACTTCATTAGGTATACCTGGTGTAGTCCATCTTATTGCAAATGTCTAATCGGCTAATCACAGTGCATATAGTCATGTAGATATCATTCAGATAACCTTCTGAAGTTCGAACTGAGCATCAGAATGAGGCTACCTGAGTATTGTTGCTGACCATGTCTGTCGACTGTGTCACAAATCATCTCCAACTATCTTGTACATGACGGTACAAATGGCCTCCACAGTCAACGGATCTCAATCCAAAAGAGACCTTTGGGATGTGGTGGAACAGAAGATTCACATCATGGTTGTGCAGCCAACAAATCTGCATCAGCTGTGCAATGCGAGTATGGACCAGAATATCCCAGGAATGTTTCCAGTGAAAATCAGAGCCACGAAGAAATACGGCAGATCTGACAAGGTCTGATCAAGTCACTACATCTGCTGTTAACACCAAACACCAGTGGCCGCATCACGACGAGCACAGTGTGATCTCTTCCTGTATTCAGCACCTGTCAGTTAGAAACCACGATGCCCGGCCCACTGTGGGTCCAGATGTCCATAACAGCGTAAAACCATCACATATAACTCTGTTTCAGATCGATCGCAGACATCAGCACCATGAATACATAAATACCAAAACATTGCAGTTGTAGCCACAGTGATCAATCACCCAGAGGTAAGAAACAAACGATGCAGTTTTCCTGTGCTGGTTGTTTGTTTTTAACTAAGAGGAAGAAATTGGAAAGTTTTCTCGTCACAGGGCGACTCAGCTCCACAGCAGCTGCTCAGAACTAATAAAAGCACCAAATTAACCCTGACGCCTGTAGAGTCACACACACACACACACACACACACACACACACACACATAAAAGCACCGACGTGCTGCTGTGTTGTTTTCCTCCCACTGTGTGAGTGTGTGTGTAAAGTCTGGAATAAGAGCTTCCATCACGAGTGAAATTATTCGATGGCAACTTAATGTTCCCTTCCTCCATCCGTGCTCTGTGTTTGCTGTGAGTGAACTGTTTGTCTAAAGCAAAGAGTCGAAGCTATTTGTGCGAGCGGGGGGGAATGGCTGAATCATTTTCACGGCTCTCCCGCCGGCGGCGTCTGATGTCCCAAAAGTGGAAACAATGTTTACCTGGACGGGACGAGGGCTCTAAACTGGGCCGTTTACACACCGCTGTAGATTCAACAGCTTCCCCTGTTTGAAAGAGAAGAATCCTGTGTGTGGTTTCCCTCCTGAAGCAAACACCCTGTGCAAATGCATGCTGTTTTATTTATCCTGTTATTGTATTATTTTGGGGCCGGGGGGAGGTCTGGATGAGGAGGTGCAGGGGAGAGAGGGCGGGGGGGTCGCCCAGCTGAAGCCTTCCATTTCTTTCTGTTCTGAATGTTCATATTGTTTTATGGGTTTTACACTTGGCTGTCAGACGACGTTAGCGTGTCTCCTGCCGTGCCTAACATCTGTTCACGCTACACCGGGAGGACGCATGTTGGCTCCGGAGACATATAAAACACATCCACGGAGACGTGAGCAGACGTGAGACTGTGCTGCTGCCTCGTGTAAAACAAAATGTTACTGCAGTGTGAAAAAGACAGCTGTCGACATGTTTGCTATGCAAGAGCACGAGAGTAGTGCAAAGTTTAATCGGAGGGTTGCCTCATGAATCACAGCCTGCTGAGGCAGAGCGGGCCTCAAACAGCGCCTAAAGAAATCTCGAGTAAGTCAAAAGCAATACCAAAGAAATGCAGTTTACACGCGCCTAATTATTGTAGTGTGGATTTAATATGTGTGGATTACAAAACAAATAATCTTACTGGATTTATGACAAAGTTTTGAAAATGAACAGCTCGTTTATGTTAATTTGTCCAATTTGAGCCGCGGATAAATAAAATGACAGCTGTTCGTCAAGTGTTGATGCAGGATCTTTGTTCAACCCCTCGGATTAAAGCAGAGATTCTTCATTTGCATCTTAACTGACTCATTTCATCTGCTGCGGTTCTGTACAGAAGCGTGACAGCAACAGTTTCTAGGTCTAACTGTAACAGCAAGAGCTGTGTTTAAGTACTTATTCTTACTTTTGCACTGGAGGATACTGAGCGGTCACTTTGTTAGGTACACCTGCTCAACTCCTCATTAATGCAAATTTCTAATCAGCCAACCGCGTGGCAGCACGTTAGTGCATTTAGACATAGAGGCGTGGCCGAGACGACCTGCTGAAGTTCAAACTGAACATCAAAATCAGGAAAAAGGTTCTTTTAAAAGTCACTCTGAATGTGGCGTGGTCGTTGGTGCCAGACGGGCTGATCTAAGTATTTCATTCATCCCGCTTTGTATATGCTTGTGAGCATTGCCACAGTGTGTAATATACTATATTAAATATACTATACATGAAACTCTATAACAAAAGTTATAACTACAGCAGTATATACAGTTTTAAAAGGGCTGTGGTACATATGTAGGCTGCGAGTGTGTTATTACTACAGGGATAGCTCAGTAGGTAGAGTGGTGGCCCCATGATTGGAAGGTCGGGGGTTCGATTCCCCTGAACAGCTACCCTGAGGTACTCCTGAGTAAGGTACCGTCCCTACACCCTCCAATGGCTGCCCACTGCTTCACTGAGTGAATGGGTTAAATGCAGAGAGGAATTTCCCCACGGGGATCAATAAAGTACACTTTCTTTCTTTCTTAAATCCCAGACAGGAAATACAAACATTGCTAATTGTGGAGAAAATGTGGACACACTGGGGAACTAACTGCAGCGTGCTTTATAGGAAACGTGTCCTTTTATCAGCTTTCATCTTAATGAAGGATGTTATCACGTTCAGTATCTGTGCAGCGAAAGAATAAGAACAATGAGCCAGCAGCTAATGCTCCTCTTAAACTGCTGCACGTGTTTGGAAAGACAAAATGTGCCCTTTGACCTCACCCCTTCACACCTGAATGTGACATCCTTGGCCAAACATTCAGGGCTACAGCCAGGTGGTTAAAAATAATCAATACAGATGTCAGCCTTGTTCTGATTGTTGGGCTTTTCTGTAGGATCTTTACCTTCCAGTATAAAGTGCCTTGTAATTTGCTGCTATATAAATTCAATTTAATTAAAGTTCTGGACACATCTGATTAATTTGGCCTCCACATATTAATATTTCTGCACATGAAATACTTCAAAGTAACTCAGCAGCAGAAACAGCAACATGTTGCTTAAACACTAATTGTTCTGTATAAGTAATCTAAAGGCGTTATATAAAATAACCCAGCATCAGAGCGTCAGACATTTTACCAATGATCGCACCAACTAATGACCCCTTTTTAGAAATTATAGATGACATACTGCAGGCTTAACTATTTTGCCTTCCAGGATTTCAATCAATTTGTACAAAGAATTTGTAAACTGGCAGATAAATGCAGCAGAGTGTCGAATTAAAAAGGTTGTAGTGGCGTAATCCTACAAATTAGCATATAAATAAGAACATGCTTAAATGGAAGAGCAGCACACCGGCTGCAGGATGGGGGATGAGCAGCCTCTCTTGTCTGAGGAGGCTGAGATCATGCAGTGATCATTTTCTGCCACTCAGTTTGTGGTGATCACGGCATACTTTGCTGTGGTCTGCCGGGGGAGCTTCATCTGAGCTTTAGACACACACAAGCACCAATAAGCTGATGAAGGCCGACTCTGTGATGGGCTGCAAACTGCTCTTTTGCAGGTGTGGTGGAGACTCTTCAGTCATTTTGACCACCCCCTGCAACACTTACGGGACAGACAGCAGAGCACATTTCCTAACAGACTGAATTATCTCTACTGCCACAAGGACAAATATAGAAACTCTTTCACACCTCTTATCTCTCTGTTATTTATCTCTATTTTGTTACATCACTTGTATAATAACAACAAGTAAAATAAAATGCTAAAATTAAATTATTTCTTCGTGTTTAAATAATAATAATAATAATGATAATAATACCCTTAGTATCCCTTAAACATAAAGTACTATGTAAAATTGGTTAAACTACAGCGACACTGTGTGGCCAACACGGTCAGCGTCTCCATTAAAGTAACTTTATTCAGTCAACATTTAACACAGTTATTATTATTATTATTATTATTATTATTATTATTATTATTATTATTATTATTATTATTATTATCTGTCAGTCACGCGCGGTGATGTTACTCGTAGCCCTTTTGTCTCTGTTTTACAGCGTTCGTGACGTGGAGTGTGACGACACTCACAGTGGACGGGACACCGGAGGCGCTGCTCGCACCAGCTGCAGGTCAGAGGAGGAAAACATGGCTCGTCAAAGTAACACCTGCGCCGGTAATCTGGCGTTTCTGTTTGCGCTCGCGCTGATTGCAGCGCGTGTCCCGGCGGAGGCGTCCGAGGAGCAGGCGAAGACGGTGGAGTTCAACGTGAAACCGGGAGGAGTCGTGCACACCTTCTCCGAGGGCATTGTAAGTGCCTCCGCCGAGCGGTGTCTTTATTTCTCGCTGTAAATCTCCCGCTTTAAAACGAGCCCTCGTGCAGGGAAACACGGAGCTACCGATAAATCCTGAATCGTAAAATTTAATTTTACGTGGATTAAATTTGAATTCACCGCGCAGCTCACTGTAACCCACTCCAATGTGATTTATCAGTCAGTTATTAACACATTAATAGCTAAATTAATTATCATTAAGGAGCTGAGGTCTGCTTCTCTTATTACAGTCGGACATAATCGATGTTATAAACAACAAAAGAGAAAAACTACAATCTGCTGGGCAGCTTTAGTCGCTGTCTGATGACGACACAGCCTGTGAGGGGCTGACACGTCGCTGTCACAATGGCGCTTTTGATTGGTTGAGAGCTTCTTTTCTTTTAACTTAAAGACTGCTCACTTTAAATTGTAAAAATAACTTTTGTCTGATTGTTAAACTAACGATCGAACTAATTATTTAATGAATTAATGTTTTTCTTGTTTGATTAATCAAAGAAAAGCTGACTCGTCATTGGTCACAGCAGGTAAAGCTCAGGTGTCCCTGATAGCTTCAGCGGTGACAAAGAGAACCATTACGTGTCTTTAATATTCTGACGTGGGAGGTGTTTGCAAAGTCGCAGTTTAAAAAAGTCAAAGTCATCTTACAAGCTGTTACATTAGATTATTACTTTAAATAGAAAAAGAAACTCGCTGACTCGTCCAGCTGTAGCTTGACTTATTATTTGTTATTTCCTCGTTTCGATGGCAGAGGTGTGACTCTGACTCACTTTCATGCTCTAAACCAGGAATGTCAGACTCCCTCTGCGTCGTTGGCCACAGACAGCCCACTTTAATCTCAAGTGTCCAGAGTCCAGAGCAGTGGAATTCCCCTTCTCTGTCAGTGGACCTAAGATTAGCTGCACATTTATTCCCACAGATATCTGAATATGAGAAAAAAAAGTGCAAATACAACCTTACCTCTCATTTCTTTCTACGTAATAGACAAATGCTGCTGTAGTAAATGAGAGGAATCTGTCAGCGGGATTTAAGAAATAAAGGTGTAAACTAATTCTGTACTACAAAGTGAAAAAACTGGAATTTTTCTTTCATTTCATTTTTTCAATCTGTTACTTAATTACTTTAGTATAGTGTGAATGGTCCAGAGGAAGGCCTTCATCAGTAGGAAATGTTGCAGTTAGATGTCCAACATTATTGCCCTCATTCACATTTTCTAAAGCTTCATGCACATCTTATCTCCACATCAGGAAGCCCTGTTTAGCTCATTTAGGTCATTTCAGGACCAATTAAATATATTTAAAACTACTTTCAGGTTGGCTCAGTACACATTGGATTTACCAGATTCCTGAGCCAACCCCAAACAGTTTGTGATTCCTCCTGGTATCAAACCAAGGGCCTTTTTACACGTTAGGTGAATATGTTAACCACTACGTTACGGAGCCATTCAGTCTACGTGATGCTGAAAAGCTTAATATGAATGAACTATTCAAGCTGAAACTGGTGAAAGCTGTTACTAATGTGGCAGAAAATAACCACAGGCGTGTCTGTCGTGCTACGCTGAAATCTGAATAGAGAGGAATTGTTTTTTTAGCAGTATCCAGGCTAATTCTAAACATCTGTACCAGGTCACGTAGACCAGACTTTAAACGGCGTTCTTTTAAATGATGATCAACAAGCAAAAGAAACATCCAAAACCATAAAGACCAGCGGTAATTTCTTATGGCTTTTTTAATCTGGCTCAACTCTTTCCCCCATAAACAACATCTGACACGCTCTAGCATTAAGAAAGGTTTTGAGACCTCAGTACAAAATAAAGAACTCGTTTCTGGGCTTTTCTTAGGGGAGCTGTCTGGCAGAGACCACCCTCGCTAACCTCCGATGCACAGACAGAACAGAGCTTCTTGGGTTCCTCCTAAAGAGTAACGTGTTAGTGTTCAGGGTATTATTGGAAAGGATGTGAGTTTACATGCAACCATATTCTGTCTTTATTTCTATGTAAGGTTAACCTGAGTGCGATCAGTGGAACAAAGAGTTTCTCGTTTTACAGGAAAGTTTTGTAGGTGAATCCAAAACACGGCACTAACACCTGGTTTCATTCTCCTTCTGCAGGGGGAGTATGAATGCTCTTTCACGTACGCCTCTCAAGGAGGAACCAACGAGGTGAGCGCCTCCCCCTCTCTCACTGTGCGTCTCCAGCCTCACATCACTGATTACTGCGGTCTTTATGCTAAAATATTGTCCCTTTTTTCTGTAACGCAGCAATGGCTGATGAGTGTGGGCCTGACTGATGACAACAGACTGTTCTCCTGCTCTGTGTGGAGGTGAGACACAGATTTTAGAGGACGCTGCACTGACTTGCATTGGCTTAATGGAGGCTGAACAACTACTGCTTACCTCACCTTAACTTTAAAGCCTGCCTTCACCCTAAAATGTCCCCATAAGGAAGTCGGGCCCCCGTGTTGTGATTGTGTAACCAGATTTAGGTCCCCGTAACTGCAGTTATACCAGGACAACACTCACAGGCCAATGAGCAGCCTGCGGAGGTACTCTTCTTCTTCAGTTTGGTGACCCCGATGCTAAGAGCACCCTCACCGCTAATGTGTGCGTCTGCTGAGTCACCTCATTGATTTTGCTTAATCGTGACAGTGGCGGTAGAGACTAGAAGGGGAAACAACACAGCAAACTTCTAACCTCTGATTGAAATGAATTTATGCAAACGCGTGACACTGACAGCAAATATTTCCTTTTCATTCCCGCCAGGCCTCAGGGGAAGTCGTACCTGTTTTTCACTCAGTTCAAAGCTGAACTGAAGGGAACCAAAATCGAGTATGCCAACGCGTATGTAAGTACAAAGAAACTGTTAGCTGAGCTTTTAGTGGGCCTGTGTTCATTCATTTGTTTTTGAGTTGTCAAATTATCCCAGTGCTCAACATGGACAAAGCTGAAAAACTGTGATTGCTGGGTTTTGTTTCTTTGTGCTGCTGAGTTTGTTATTTATTACTGTCAGTGGGCTGATCCCATTTCCAGAGGAGGGCTGTGCTTCAGTGATGCTTTTAAAACCAGGATCATACTTGCTGTGGACACTGCCGATAAATATTCATTCCACACGATTCTTTAAAAAGCTGGCTGGAGTTCGCCTGCAGGTGTGTGGTTGGTTCACTGTTTTTCGGGCTGGTCCTTGAAGATGCAAACTATTGAAGGATGTCCACAAGGAGTCTCGCGTCCATCCTCTCATGGCCCAAAGCAGAACAACACCGTGTTAGCTGATTCCAGAACAGCGCTCCACTGACTTTCTGTCAGAATTACTTCTAATAAATAACCTCTTTCACTAATCTAGCCCAGCCTGCATAGATGGTAACTAATGGTTACAGCCTAACAGCATATTAGAGGGCTATCCTCACTGATGGACATGCCCAAAACACTTCACCTAGGAGGCGTCCTAATCAAATGGCCGAGCCACCTCAGCTGGCTCCTTACGATGTCAGCTTGATTCTGAGCTCCTCGCAAATGACCAAGCTCCTCATCCCCTCTCCGAGCCGGAGCCCAGGCACCATCCGCAGTAATGCAGACGCTGCACCAAATCTCCTGCCAATCATGAATTTGCACCGAGAGTTTCTGCCGTCATGTTCGCTGTGTTTCTGTCTAAAGCGCCAGAGGTTTCTCAGACACGTGAATATCTCCAGTCAGGGATTCATTTTCCTGACATCGCATGAAAGCACTGTAAGCTCATTCAGCTTGGATTCATCTGGTCTCTTTTTCAAATTCAAGATGAGTCACGCTTAAAGCCAGCGGTTCAGTGCAGGTCTTTCTTCCTTGCACTGAAGTTTGCCTGTTGGTAGTCAAACTGCACCTGTGCAGCGTAGTTGCGATACTGTCGGTGCAACACATCATAACGCCTCACAGTTCTGCGGTTGGTTTGACAGGACAAACAAAAACTTTCTGCTTTGTATTGCCTCGCTGTTCCAGGCGCCCCTTCGGTGCAGAGATTAAAGCTTCATCAGCACAGTTGTCAGGAAAAACAAGGCGAAACTCTGTTGATGAGCATTTCTGCATAGCCTGCAAATAATAAAACATCCACCTTTATTCCAGCAACACATTCATCAGCCTCTGGGACCAAATCTGAGGCAGACGTTTGTGTGCAGCAGCTTCTTATATGCTTTTTCTCCAGCACGTAGGGGCTGTAAGATCGTCACAGCTGTCGCCATCTGCACTTTTATCTCGTCTCGTGCGACAAATAGAGAAATAATCTCAGAGCTGTATTTAATTAAACAGTTTGATAATGACGCTTGCGCCTCGTTCCTGGATATGTAAATGTCAGTGCGTGCCACGTCTCCGCACGAACGAGGATTATTGTAAGTCTGACATTTAATGATTTGTGAACAGGATGAGCTGCCTTCAGACTTTTGTCTAATCGGACTCAAAGAGAAAGAAGCAGCAGCTTACCATTTTAATATTCATTTAGTTCATAATATCTGAAAAGTATTTAAAAAAACTTCCATCTCGCAGCCCAAGAGTACGTCTTCTAGTTCCTCGGTGTGATCGAATGGCTGTCCGAAGCATTTCACGGTTAATTTTTCAGTGATTATAAAATACAGCAAAGCTGCCAGTTCTCACATTTGAAAAGCTGGAAGCAGATAATGTTTTGCAGTGTTCTGTGATTTATCACCTATCAAATATGTTTGATTAACTGCTCAACTTTAAATGTTGGCACACGAGCCTTCTGCAAAAAGGGGCGGCACTGGGTCCCTCTACTTAGAAATCAATGAAAAGCGAATGCATAATATGTTGCTTTACTACAACGATGGCGCCCGTTACATAAGGCGTGCCCCCAGACACAAAGTCGATAAAGTTGCAGCTGCGGGATTTTGTAGCTCGAGGACTTGTCACCCGAGTAGCAGAATGTACCCGACCATAAGCTAGACATGGGTGGGTTGGACATATCATCTTCCCTCCACTTGTATACAACAAACCCATAATGTGCCCTTGACAAACTAACACAAGTCGAGTGAGTCAAAGTAGCACGAAAACTTTATTTCTTCTTGACGTCACACTCGGAATCGAGTCTGTGCACTTTAATGTCTCGTGGAAGGTTAATGTCCGCGCCCGGTCTGAGCTCAGCCACTTTGCGCGGTCTGCCTGTCTGATGTGGTCGTCTGTGAAGTGGAGCGCACCTCGACACGCCTCCTTCCCACAGCAAGGACAGTCCTGACACTTTCTGTCATTAGTGCGAGCGCATGTTTCCTCCTCCCGCTCAGCTCCGTGCCCTGCAAGCCAAAGACGAACACACAGGGAAAAAAACACAACTTCCCTGAATGATGAGACCGAAATAACTTTGCACGCACAAACACACCTGCCACCCCCGCGCAGCATTTCCTTGACCTTGCCGTCACGTCCTCCTACTGTCCCGGCCCGTCTGTTCCAAACAAAATTGTTGTCATCTGTGCCGCCTCTCATCCTGTTTCCCTCTCTGTTTCATTGTTTCTTTTTTGTCTCTCTTCCCCTGCTCTCCTCCTCCTCGTCTTCATCGCGGCTGCTGTTTGCGTTTCCAGTCTCAGTCGGCAGCAGGAGGACAGAGTGACGTGCCTTTGAAGCCAGAAGAATTCACCGTCGGAGAATCAACAGGTGAGAAATTTATTGTGTTTCCGAGTGTTCAATCAACTCCCTCTGCTTGTCACATCAATCCCTTGCTCTTTCTTTCCGTCTGCCTCCCTCCCTCTCCATCACGCTGCAAGTACCCTGCTGATTTCCCTCTAAAGCATATGCTCCAGCTGTGAGTGGGTTGTCATTTGTCCCTGTAGCATTATTTCTTGTTATTCCGTTTCCGCGCAAACCGAGGCTCCAGACTGTGATTAGCAGGATTTGACGAGTCGAGCCGACCAGCAATTTCCTGTGTCTTTTTCAGCATATTCAACGCTACAGTTACAGATGCTGGAAAACACTTGCAGTCTGGGTTTGTTTTGATAGACTGCTTAACAGTGGAGAGCGTATTAATTACAAACCTACGAGTAGCCTTTAGCATCTATAGGAAAGGAGAGCAACCGAGCTCAGACGTGCAGATAAAGACATGCTGACATGTCCTTATGTTTGTGCCACATGGAGGCAGTGAGTGTAACAGCTGGTGTTTTATTATAAGTGCTGTTTTATTTTAGGCTGGGACGTGTTTTAAGGTTATGGTTAGGCTCTTAATTTGTAAGGCTTTAATTAAATCGCTTGAAGTCCACTTATTACACATTTTCCTTTACATTTGTTTATAAGCTAACAGCTACAACATGCATCAACTATTCAGCTCCAAAAATGTATTTTAATGTACGACTCCATCAAAGTACAAAATAACTGATCATGTTTAAGCTTTTAGAGTAAAGGTGGGCAATTAATTTTCCCAAGGGGCCACATGATACACTGGGACTGTTGTGTAGGGCCGCACCAATAAGCTGTGGCCCCTTGGGGAAATGAATTGCCCACCCCTGCTTTATGGGAACTGCTTGCCTGGAATAAAAATATGTTTAGTTCCTGTATAAATATCTTCCCCAGTGTAATAAAGGTTAAATTATCATTTGCATTCTTTGTAAGCTAAGCTCGCCACGCTGCGGTTTCTAGCTCTGCGTTTAATAAACAGACACGAGATTCGTGTGTTTTTTTTCTTTCCACTCTTCAAAAAAGCAAATAAGCATTTTTTTTAGTGCATGTCTGAAAAATGCTGAAATATAGACTTTTTCAAATACATAAAAGATAAAGATGCTGTTTGTGTGTGAGGTCTTTAACAGGATCAGCAACGTTGCTGTTGGGCTCAGTGCCTGCAGGTAGCAGGCATGTCTCATTTACACCAGCTCACCTGCAGGTGGAGCTCATCAAACCTACAGACGTGATGTCCTGTTATTCTCCTTGTGCTTTGTTTGCAGCTGAATGATTGTTTTTGCTCTGTCGTCATCTGTGGCAGCATTTCATGCATTTCCTCTTTTTTTTAACCTCAAGTGACCCACAGGGATGGAAAGTTCAGCGCTCAACTCTCCAAACTGACCGTGATTGGACGGACACGAAAAGACGAGCTGTAGCTGGTCAGAAGTGAAGCGCTTTGACCAATCAGAGCATCCCGACGAGCTCCGACTGGAGCCTCTGCTTTTCCCTCAGTGATCGATGAAGGATGGATTTCTTCCTGAGTTACAACTAAAAATTGAAGAAGGATAAACTGGATACTGCCCTGACAGCACTTTGTGTTGCTACAAAAGTTACCTGATACTTTGATGCTATAGTGGATCGGAGCTACACGGGACAAAAGGGATCAGCTGAGTAAACAACAACAACAACAAAATGCTTGCTCTGAGATGAAGTGCTTCCATAGTTGTTATTTTTCTTATGCTACAAGATTTACAAAGAATTGTGTCCTGATACACTGGGGATGTCTGTGATTGTATAGAGGATGTCTGGGGGCTTTGTGGAGTATAGATAACATATTTAGACTAGGGAAGGATTTATCCATCTTATGTAATCCCGAGAGAAAAGTGAGTATTCCCCAATATCGTCACTGCGCGCACATAAACAATTTCCCCCGTCTGGCTCTGCTCTGAGCCGCTGTTGAGCGAACTGCCTCCTTCTGTCTTCATCTCTCTCTGTTTCTCCGTTCCAGATGATTGTAAGCACCACATTTGATCCCCAGCAACCACCAATCACTTCTTCTTGTGATAAATCTTTGTTTTGTGTTTTTGCCTGAAGCCATAATGCAGCAGATAGCAGCTTTTAAACATGTTAAGAGGACACGTGTATTCCCACTTATGTCTTCAAATCTTCATCATTCTGCAGCAGAAGATGCAAATCTTTCTCAAACAAATTCCCATTAACAAATGGATCTAATTTGAGTTTATTGCAACAAGTTTTCAGTTACATTGTTAACCACAGAATACTAAAATGTAGGGCATGCACAGACGTTTGGATGATAACACGCGAGGCAAAAGAGATGCCAGCAGGTATCTCTGAGTCCTCCTTGAACCCTTTACTTTCATCTTTCGGTGCCACATGTGTGGATCAGCGAGGATAATGTGCAGGTTTCACAAGGACTTCATTATTTCGTCCCCCCCCCCCCTTTGTGACTCTCCCTGTTCTCTTATGTTGCGAGGACCTTTATCCCCCCGTCATTGATCCAGCTCTCTCAGATCCACGCCAGTCTCCAGAGGACGATTGATTTCAGATTTGAGGATTTTGCTGATTTGATTGTGTGGTTGTGTTACCTGTTATCTCTCTGCCTTGTTTGGCCCGGGATCGGTTTCCCTCGTCCGTCCGGAGGTGATCCTAAGGAACTGAGGAAATGCTTAGCAGGAGCGTTTCCCCTTTTCCTCGTTGTCACCGCTGATGTCGATGCGTCGTCTGGAAATAATCACCTCCAGATCCTGGCGTGACAGATTTGAAAACAAACAAACCCAATGTTACTTATTTTGTACGTTTTCTTTTTCTACTTGTTGATTCTTCTGATTCATGATGAAATGTGATGGGCGTCTCAATAAAGACATTTTCTGGAGATAACTCAATGTTTGTGTCTTGTTAATGTCAGTCATGATCTCACTGAAGCTCCCACAGCTTGTTAGAGGGTAAACATAAAAAGAGGAAAGATTTGAGTGCCAGCATTGAGACAATAAATATTCGGAGCACTGTCAAAGCTGGGCAACAGTAAACACGGTGGAAAGCATTTTTATACCCCATCATATCCCATCCAGAACAACAGTAATTTTAGATGCATCCCTAATTTAGACTGCGTTTATAAGCAGCATAAATACAGTGTACAGGACATCTGAGGCCCCGAGCAAAACTTGCAATTAAAATAAGCATTATAAGAAATGTTGTTTTAAAATGTATTCTGCTGGCGTAGGAAATTAACATATATTGTCCTCAGATAAATGTTGCCATGAGATAAAGAGCTTCTATTGTTTCTTCTTTATTTCTGGGAGAAAAGCTTTGGAGCGAGGCTCTTCTAAATCCACAGGCACAAATGGGAATCTGTAGAGCTCTGATCTTTATGGGTTTATAGAGATAGAAAGTTGGTGGGGATTTATTCATTTTATGTTAAGCCAAAGAGAAAAATCTGTAATCTAGATTGTCGGCATATCGGCGCAAGTTTGTTTGAAGCGTAGCGTCAGAACTGTAACCAGCACGTTTAGCGCTGCTTTTACAGCCGTGACTATGAAACATCTGAAAATCTCAAGTGTGGCAGAGCTAAGATCACAACAAGCTGTGCGATGAAACTCCCACAGAGGCTCTTATTTGTAATTAAAGCATCTTATAGCAAAGCGGGGACATTTTCAGACTCTCGTTTCTAGTTTTGTGGCCTTGCAGGGGGAGAAAATGAGACACTTTGTTCTCGAGTTGGTTGTTCCATCGAGTAATAGGTCTCTGTTGCACAGTAGCTCTTTGATTATCATCATTTCACTCCGTCTATGGGACTCGGAGCTGCCTCGATGCTGTCATGCAAACCCTGAACACATATCGCTGCTGTTTACCATCTGGCAGCGGTACAGATGTTTACTTTCAACTTCTCCCTTTACAGTACAACCATCACAAAGAATTAATACACTCTCTAGATTATGATGACGTCAATTAAAGAGCTTTGATCAGAACCCCCCATCCTGCCACGCCGCTGCTGTCCAGACTGAAATACCTCTAACTGTTCAAATGTGGTGCAGACACACTGTAATGGTTCACAAAGCCACTGCAAGAGGGTGTGCAGGCCGACAGGAGAGAAACATGGAGCAAAATTAAATTCATGTGATTTAATTACTAACTGACAGAAAGTTGTGGGTTGAGGGGTACAACTTTCTTGGCTTCAGGAGGATGTTTGCCATCTTCTTGTGACCCCTTAAAACAAAGCTTGTACACTTGTTGCCTTAAGAGATGTTTGACCAAAAGCAAATCAGTGTGGTTCTGCAGCCACCTTTAGCAGCAATAACTTGAATTGTTTTCTGTACGACTTTATCAGTCTTCCACATCGTTGCGCAGGAATCTTGGCCCGCTGGTCTTTACAGCGTTGCAGGAACTGAGGTTTGCAGGAACAAGGTCCCGGTGAGGTCTGGATAACACTCGGTCGCTGCGGCACCTTTGCAGCTATTCTGTTGTAGATTTACTGCTGTGCTTTTTCTGTTGCATGAACATATTTCAGCCAAGCTGCTGCTGTTTGTGTTCGACTCAATAACTGTAAAGTGTCCAGTTTCTGTGGCTGCAAAACGAACCCAAATCATCACGCCTCCACCACTGTGCTCGACAGCTGGCGTGCTGCGTTTGGTTTCCCGCAAACGTGGTGCTGTGCGTTATTGTCGAGCATTTCCTTTTTGGTCTTGTATGTTCAAAGACACTGGCACCAAATAAGGTCTACTGTTGAGTAAAACTTGCTTGTGGAGATGAGATTACTCGCCTGTCTGTGTGTGCAGATGTTTCCCCGGGGGTCCAGTAGAGGCCATGGGTCACATGAGTGTGGGGAATTCCTGTACATGGAGTGTTTTCATAATGGCGCTAATTAAGATTAAAATATATAATATTTAATTAGAAATAGAATATTAGACAGTGTGATTTGTGTTGCAGTTGGAAGGCTTGACTTGCCTTTAATTGTCCAGTTATTTTGCTTCCACCGTACTCTGCCTCAGCCTTCATCACCACTCATAGTCCAGTGGCAAAGGCCAACCTTGTGGTCTGTGGTTTGTGCAACTTTGCTTTCTAAATGTATTGTCATGAACTTTAAGGTGCTAATGGAGGCCCGTAGGGATTGGCATGCAGTCTTTGGGTTTGTTTCAATTTCCCTGACCACTGCACAGGATGACATTGGGGTCGATTTGCTGGGATGTTCACTTCTGGTACGACTGGCAGCTGTCTTGAATGTTTCCCACTTGTGAATAATCTTTCTCACGGCAGAATGATGGACCAGATTCTTTGAAAATGGACTTATGACCTTTTTCAGATTGATCGGCAGGAAGAATTGCTTTTCTTAGATCACTGCTGGTGTATTTCCTCCTGGGCATCGAGTTAACACACACCTGAATGCTTCAGACCTGCAAACTGCTAAAACTTCTGCTTATGATCAGTTGATCAAATGCATTTAATTAGCAGCGCCTGGCTGCAGCGTAGCTTCTTAGTTCCTATGGAAGCAGTAAGGATGTATGTAGTTTTTCCACAGGACTGCACTTTCATTACTTGAAAACTTGTTTTGTTTTTGCACAGCTGTAGTGTGGCATTTTTAGTGTGGACTGCTCATTATTAGGAAAACCATTCAGTTTACCTGCAACACTAACAAGATCTCCACTGACCTCAGCTGCACATAAGGTTTTAGTCCTTAAAGTTAACAGGTTAGCAGATTACACTCAGGATGTGATTCTTTCTGAGCATCATGTTGGCGCTCCAGCTTTAAGCATGTAAGCACTGCACTTGTAGCATGATGGTAGACACCTCTGAGGGATAGATCTGCACAAAAATGACTAATTACTAATAAAACTATCGCAAAATTTGCCTAAAAATGCTTGAATGAGTCACAGAGTATCACTGTGTGATATTCATTATGAACATAATCCCACATATACCATGCTGGTGATGGAAGCGCTCTCTGGAGCACCAGTGGTTATTCATTCCTAGCTGTTTGTGAGGCTGAGGAACCGCGCTAACGTTAACGCACTAGCGCCGTCCAGCCCCAAGCACGGGGCGATCCGCGTTAACTCGCTATCGAAGATTTGCCGCGTTATAAAATGCTCTACAGTGTTTACCTATTTGGGGTAAATAGCTGAGTCTTTGTACAAAGACTGAAACTAGACGTCTGTTGAAGATGTAACCTCTGAGTGGCACAGGCAGTAACCATTAGGTCTCTCTATTGAGAAACAGGCTCTTTTTATCGGGCCTGTTGGTCATGAGAGAGAATATAAGATAACCTCAGCTTTATTCTTTGAGAAAAATAAAGAGCCAGCTGAAATAACCCAAAGCAACATTTCAGAGAGGACAACATAAGCTGACCTAAATGAATGAGCCATCGATTTGCTGTGCTGTGTTTATGTAGTTAATCCGGCTGGCATTCCCGTGTCTGCTTTTCTCTCTTTGCTCTCTCACACCTGCCCCCTATTTCTCTCTCTCTGCATCTCCTGACATTTGGAGGGGAACAGATGGAGATTGTGGCTGGGTCGGTCAAGCCAGAGGCAGCAAAGGAGATGGGATTTTTGTATCACCAGGGGCCCGGTGAAGGGTACAACGAATGGCCAGCTGCCCCCTGTCTCCCCTGACGCGCACCCCAGTGCTGGGCTGGTGACCCAGTCGGAGCAGGGACACTGGGCTCGGGCACTTTCTTGCAAAGTTTTTCATATTATGACACGTTTTCTTGTCTCTAGCTCTGTCACAGATCTCTGACCTCACTTCCCCCGCATGTGCTCTTTAACACTGCAAGCCAAGGTAGCCTGAGCTGCAGTGAGACAGCAATTATCCACCTCAGACGATGCTGATACATGTGAGTGGACCTCTTTGGCTGCATGGGCTGAAGTGCACTAAGGTAATCACTTCTTGCTTTGCCTTGTCATTTTGCAATAATTGCAATTTCTCTCTAATTAGGCCTTTTCAGTCCCTTGCCCTTTAACTGTGCAGTCGGTGGGAGTCTGAGATCTGCAGGGCAAAGTGAACATCTGTATAGAGGCTCTTGTTACCAGAGCAGTTAACCAGACAGATGTTACGATGCCCTCTGTATGTTCAGTGTGTGAACCCGAGAGGTTTGTATAGAAGGAGAGAGTAAGAGGACATTAGCAGAAGCAAGCTGTTCCTCCTGACATACTCACCCCAAGTTGCGTCTGCGCCTTGTCACCTTGGAAACTTGGTCTCAGCTCAGCTTGGCAAGCCTTAAATCACTCTCCACTCTTGCAGACTTGTGGCTGGTGCTGTGAATATGGCTCCATTCGATCAGCCCCCCTCTCCTGCTGCATTGTCTCACACTGTGGTCGAGAGCAGCCTTCTTTTCTCAGGGTACGGAGGAGCTTTGCGGAGCTCCTTCACTTTCTTTGTGTTTTCAGAGAGTCTGTGATGTGGGTAAGGTGGAGGCTTGCGACCTCTGTGGCCTAGTGCTGCGGCGCATACGTGTGACGGTCCCGCTGAGGATGCTCGCCTCTCCGTGTTAGCGGTGAACCCGGTTTCAGTCTCTGAGTCGGTGGGTGGGCAGCTGGCAGACGGCAGCAGGTTGGACGATGGAGAGAGCGGCCCAGCAGATGGGAGATCGCTTTGTGTGGTCTGATAAGACCCCACTTTGGTCTGGATGATGACAGACGGGCTAAGAGCAGGGGGTGGGTTAGCCTTTGAAGACAGGGGAGAGGGAGGTGAGATGGGGCTGATCCTGATGGAGGAGGTAGCCCCAGGGGAGTGAGGCTGAGAACCAGAGCTACTGGGGAGATGGAAGTTTACCGTTAGAGGGGAAAGACCAGGAGTTGGAGGCCGAGCAGGGAGGCTTCTTTGGGGGGAGCGAGTGTGGTCGTGGGTCGTGAGGTTACTGGGGTATGGCAGCTTCCCACCGTGTTTGGGTGAGGCCCCAACACTACCGGTGAGGTGAAGAGTCCGACTCCTCTCCGATAAAAGTCCAGAGGTTAGCGGGCGCAGCTGCACATTGGGTGGAGACTGGCTCCTGCTATGATGCTCTCCCCTCAGGGTGCCAGATAAATACCCAGTTTCTGGCTGGTTTGCAGGCTCTGACAGCTTCTGATGTGTGAAGCCCACAGTTGTTTCACTGGAGCTCGAGCCTGAACTGTAGCTGCTGTCGCTGGGAGGTTTGGTGCTTTCTCTTCCAGTTCCCTCCTCCTCCTCCTCCTCCTCCTCCTCATTCAGATCAATGGTTGATGTTAGATGGTCAATCTGCTGCACCACCTAGAAAATACACGATTGACAGATAAAGATAGAGTCAGTAAGTGAAGTTTTCCTCCAGTTTCTGTGATTGAAAAATGTCTTCTATAGTTTTTGTTTGCTTTGGGTTTTGGTGCCACTGCTCCAAGAAAGAGGATGCAGGACCTGATGGCGAGGTTCCCCTTTAGAGAAACACATATCAGCAGACTGATCAAAGGTTGCACACACAGAGTAAAACACTGAGCTTTTTGGGAGTTGCCACTCTGCTTGGCTGCTGGTCCAGCTCTGTGTGCTGAATGAAAAGAGAGGCAATAGATTGAGAACAGAGCTCTCCATTGTTTCCTTATACAGATCGGTTCACCTCTGGCAGTGAGTAACAGCCTGTGAAAACAGATGATGTCATGGTGATGTCATCAGAGTAATCTTAGACTAAACTCAAAGAGTTTTTGAGCTTTGTCAGAAAGCCTCTGTTACCGGGCAGAGAGGGTTTAATCAAAGACACCACGAGCTGCATTTTCACTTTAACGCTATCAGTGTAGCACCATCCTCTGTTTAACCTGTCTCTTGTGAGTCACTCGTTTTATAAAAGTGCTGCAATACATAATTTATTATAGAGATAATAACACACTAGAAAAATAACACTTGCATCTCCAAATTGCTGCTTTTTCTTCTCCATAAATTCTGCATAATTGACCACCGAGAGTCAAACTCCTAAAGCAAATCTCTCGATAGCAGCACAAATTTGAGTGCAGCTGGAAACAGTTAATATTTGGCATTATGTATGATAGATATTTTAACAAATCACACTTAACAACTATTGGCTTAAATTTGATCATTTCCTCAGTTAGCTGACAAGAGGAAATATTCTTTGCCTGGACAGCAGCGCTGAAGCGAAGGGAAGAAGGGGAAAGAGTCATAATTCCACAAAGATCTGAATTTCAGCTGGGAAACTGTTTAAATGCTTATCAGCTTGATCCGCTAATCCACCAGAATGTGAAACGCTAACGCCGCCGTTTCTGCTTCCTCAGGAATTAAGAGGTAAATAGCAGCCAGTACGTCTCATATACACGTCATTATTTTATCATCAGCAAGTTTGAGCACCTCTATAAATATGCACATATAGCACCTCTATATGTGTCGAACACAATGCTCCAATCTTTCCGGAAGCAGAGGTCAGACTGTGCAATGCTCAGAGAAACTGCAAAGAACCCAAGAGCTACTTCTCAGAGCCTGCGGGCCTCAGCTAGCATGTTACCACAAAACTCCGGGAACAAATTTCTTTGGACAGACAAAACCAAAGTGGAGATGTTTGACCATGGCGCACCAACCCCTCTACCATCTGTCAGCACGCTGGTGGCAGGGTGATGATTTTGGTTTTGCAGATCTGGGCACTTTGCAGTCATTGAGTCCACTGTGAACTCCTCCGTATACCAAAGTATTCTTGAGTAAATGTGAGGCCATCTGTCCGACAGCTACAGCTTGGCTGAAATCGAATCACACGAGGGGCCAGTGATCCCAAGCGCAGCGTCAAATCTGCCACAGACCTCAGATCTCATCCAAAATCGAGACACTGGCAGGAGCTTAACAGAGCTGTACAAAGATGAATTCCTGCAAACCTCAAATAAATGTTTCATAGCATACAGAACTAAGTTAAAGCAGCGCAGCTCAGTCTGGTAAAACAAATCAGATTTGTCCTGCCAGTTTAGTAAAAATCAGACGAGGCACACGCGCACGTATCCAAGTGCGTGCAGAGCATCCACACACACAACCCACACAACAAGACTAGAAGAAACAGCCACACACACAGCCATACATAGATGGAAGAGATTGGAGGAAATTACTCTGGGGAAAATGCTTGACCCATCACGCCACCTGCTCAATGTGCACAGATAAATCCTCGGTCCGTGCTGGATTGTTTTGTTCGCCGTGTTCAATATCCTTGCTGATGTCAGTGGATGACCTGATTTGTCTCTCTCTGTCTTTTTTTAATGCTGGAGCTGTTTGAGCGAGGCATTTCATATTGCTTTGAAGTACAGCGTGTATATGCACATCCAGTGACTCTGGGCAGGTGCTGCTCGTTAATGTCAGAAATCAGATGAGATAAAAGTGCAGAGGACCCTGGTTTTCATGTGCTTCCCCCAAGGGTGTTTGTTAGAAGCAGTGTGGGGGGGTTGACCCTGCAGGTCCTCCTGATGAGTACCGAGAGACGTTTGTTGTGGAGCGCCGGTATTTAAGTTGCGTTTAGCTCTTTAAGTTCAATTCTGTTGTTGTTTCTCTTGAAGTTCTGAGTCATAGTTCAGTTTTTTGATCTGTCAAAGCGCCTCAGCAGAGGATCGCTATCATATTCAAGTGCAAGCCCACTTTTGTGATGTCTTTTCCTCCTCCAGTGTGTGAGAGAGATCTTTAGTGTAATATTTGTTTAGCTTCAGACAAAGGCCTCCACTAATTTCTTTTCGTAGCCGTGATGAATATTAAACAAAGCTGAGGTTTGCTGCTCATGCAGCGGAATAAAAAACACGGCTTTGGAATAAATATGCGACCAGTCTTCTCTGGTACCTTATCTCCCTTTTCATCTGTTGCCTCTGTTGTGAAAATTTGGGACTTTTCTATTTCAGTGTCTGCTTACTCGCCCCCCTCTTTCCCTTCTTTGTGTGTGCAGTCGTTGGGGTTTTATTGATAAAGCTCACAGCCAGGATGATGAGGTTACTACCTCGGGTTTAGCTGTGACCCCACAGAGGCAGATCAAATGGCAAGAGGCAAGATTTATGTGTCACTTTTACTGTGTGAGGCAGAGAAACTCAGACATAAATGGATTATAAAAAGCGTCGGACGCAATCCAGCTGTGCCTGGAGCACATCTGTCCATAAGAAGAGCGAGTGGAGGGAGAGATCCTTCATCTCAACAACCTCTGAACGCATCAGGCAAATGGGGCATGACTAGTGTCTCATTCACCTTTATGAAAATGTGCACACGACTCGAGCTGAAGCGTGCAGACAGACGACAGAGGAAATTTGGGAAATTTTGGTGCTGCATTCATGCAAGCCGTGCTGCTGACTGTTTAATGCATGGCAAATTCTTGCTGAGGACGTGCATTTGGAGACCGGCTTGTTATTCGTCAGTGCACAGGCCCTCGAGCATGAACACTTTCAGAAAATGAATGTGAAAGGACGCAGTAACTTTTCTGTCCTGTTTTGTTTGGATTTCTCACTTCTCAGTCGCTCGAGTGAAATGTGATGATTGAGAGGGTGACGTGGCTGAATCTGACACTGAAAAAGCTTTCATCTCATTTTTTTAGTCATAGTCGAGAAAAATATGTCATGTTACCTCTTTCATTTCCTGATGAACATCCCTCAGGGCTTTGAGAACCTGCTCCAGGTTGACCACCACCCGTTTAATTTGGTTTCGCACCACCTTCCTCCTGCAGCCGGCCTCTTTCCTCTGTGACTCCCCTTCGCTCTTTGGTCTGTGCTGGGCCCACGTCTGGTTCTGAGCCAGGAAAGCGGTGCGCTCTGAGCTCGGTCTGGGTTTCTCGGGGCCTTGTAGAGTTGTCGTACTGCTGAGCCCCCCGTGAGGAACCTCGGTGGAGAAGATAACTCCGTTTAGATCCTCCACAGGTGGCTCCCGCAGCGCTGTCAGGTCTCGTTGGCTCTGGGAGCTCCTGCTGTGTTTACTGGTGTAGCTGAAGTTGGAGCTGAATCCATGCTGCCTCTCTATTAGTCCCTGAGTGTCATAGTTGAGCCAGCTGGATGAACGGTGGTCTCTCTGACGGTGGGTGTTGTGGCTGGCGCAGTCCCACACCTTCCCCTCTTTGCCCTCCATACACATAACAACAGGCACGTTAAAGTTTGGCTCCTCAGAGAGCAGCGCAGCAACAGGAGCAGCAGGAGGTCCAAGCAGTGGCCCGTATTTCTTCACTGAGTTGCTACTGCTGTCACTCTGCGACTGATGGGGGCTCAGGTGGCTGCTGTGCTTCCTAACAAAGGTGTGGTTGCCCTGAGCAGCGGAGGAGCTGTTGGCTGGTCCCTGCGGCCCCTCCCCTGGGCTGGTCTGTGCGTTGCGGTCTGTGCCAAGCTCTTTAGTCCGGTTCCACCTGGCAGGACTGTCCTCGCTCTGCTTCCCCAGGCTCCCTGGCAGGATGTGGTGCCCCCTCAGCGCAACTGGCAGCATCCTCGCCTTCCCCACCCCATTGCACCGAAGTTCAGCCTTTTTTCCACGGCCCTTCCCCTGGATGGAGAAAAAGCCGATCCCCTTGGCTCTCTCCAGCGGGGTCAGGTTGTTTCGGGTCTCTGAGTTGGATTTGTACGGTTCGTTGAGCCCCAGGTTGCTGCTCTGGTGAGGCTTCAAGCTATTGCGCAGCCAGGGGATGAAGTGAGGGGTGTGGGACTTGAAGCCTTTCTGCTCCCCAGGCGCCGGAGCCCTGCTGTCAGAGAACATGGTGATGGATGATGTCCGGCAGCCTGGCAGAATGAAGACGAAGTAAAAGGGGAACGGGAGGACTCCTGAGACACCGAGAGCTTCCTCCTCTTCTTCCACGAATCTCCTCCTACCTTTGCCATTAACGGGCTTTATCCGCTCTGATGTTCAGTCTCGTCTCCCCCTTCCCTCTCCCCTCTCTTACTCCGTCTCCAAAACTTTTATCTGCTTTTTCCCTCCTCGGCTCTAGTCCCACTCACCCCACTCCCCTTTTTCCTGGCGAAGCCTGCTTCTGATTGTATCGCCCTTCTTCTTTTCCCTCAGTTTCAGCGTCCCCTCCCACTCTTCTCTCCGCTGTAGTGCTCTTGAGCCCCTCGCCCCCTCGCTGGGCCAGCCGTGGAGATGCCGAGGGCCTCTCTCTCCCTCTGTCGTCTCTCTCTGCCTGCCTGCATCTCACTGGCTCAGTGGCAGTGGAGGCTTCCTGTCTCTACATCTCTCTCTCTCTCCCTTCCTGTCTCTCTCCCCCCCGCACTGCGCTGCACTGCCTCCTCTCCTCGCTCTTTCTTCCTCCCACTCCCTCTCACTGCTCTAACTCCCTTTCTCTGTTTCCCTCTTCTCTCCTCATCTGTGTCTCCTCTCCCTGCTGCTCTCATCTGAGAACCTCCGATCGTCCTCGTCTTTACAACTCTCGTCTCTTTCCCTCCTCTCTCCGTGTCACTATTTTTCTCCCCTTGCCCCACCTCCAATTTGCCAGGGAGAGCAGCCGAAGTTCAATCAAGACGCCAGTGTTATTAATCCCCCTTTAGTGAATGTGTGCCCACGTGATTCCCCCTGCCTCCGTTCTCATCTGATTACTCCTTCCTCGGCTCAGCCCTTCACAATTAAATGCTGCTTAGGACACCAGAGGGGGTTTAAAGGAAAAGAGGAGGATAACAGCAGAAAGGGATGAAGCAGGAATAGTAGGAGGCGGGGGGGATAGGGGGGGCACATAATTGCGACCTTCAAGATCTGAGATCAGCAGCGGTTTGACAGAAACTATAAGCTGCCTGGCTACAAACAACAGCCTGCCTGTGGCTCGGCTCTCCCCAGCTTATTGTAACTGTCAGCAAACAGTGTCACGTTACATCCCAGTTGTTTTCTTGTTTTTATTTTCTACCACACATCCAACTTCCATTTGTTCCAATTACGCAGAGACAGCTGCTATTTTCGGGTTTCTCATTTACATTCCAGTTCTTGGCTGTCTGGATTAGATTTCTTGTGTCTGACAAGCTCAGAAAAATGCCTCCTAGGTGCCTTTTCACTCAGCTGTGGCTGCATAGATGCGTCCCTCCCTCACTGGCAGCAGCCAAAATGAAAAGATGGCAGCAGAGCCACACAAAAGCCCTGACAAGTCTGCTGTCACTCAACAGCGAAACACTCAAAGCATCTGTCATTCTGTTAGTCAGCATTGCAATATACTCCTCCGGTAGTGCCCTGCTGAAACATGACTTCATTCGCTGACATATTTTACTATACAGGTACATGATGGGAGTGAAAATAGAGTCGCGGGCTCGGCGTAATCTGCAGGCTAAGAAGATTCCTGCCTGCATGTCGACAGACGGCTGTCGGCCTCTGATGGCCATTAGCCGAGATAAAAAACCCCAAAACAATAAAGCGTGCGAGCGATAGAGCCGCCGTTATTGACCTTACAGCTTCTTACTGCTCACGACATCATGCTGCACGCAACCAAGTCCTGCTCCGCTTAACAGCTGGAGATTGCATTTTTATTGCACTGGATTTCACTGTGACACAAATGGTTAATCAGTCAGCTTTATTTGCGAACAACAAGTAATTTAAAGTGCTGTAAAGATTGATCAGAAGCATAGAGACAAACACTCACCAGCCAGTTTAGGTACGTTGGACCCTCTTTTGCCTTCGGAGGTGCCTTAACTCTTCAAAGCAAAGGTTGCTGCAGAGTTGTAGGCTCTGCATTCACCACATCCCAAAGGTGCTATATTGCTCTATTGGGTGTCACACAAAAGGCCCGGGGGCCACAATCGTCCCAGAAAAGACTCCAATCTGGCCCCCTGGGTGGCTTTGGAAAATATGAAGGGGAGCATAAATTTTTGGACCTTTAACTGTATTTTTATGTGTTTTACAGCTTTTCCCACAGCCGTTCATACTACACCAAAGCAGTTCATTTAAAACTTTATGTTTTATTAATACAGTCAGGACAGGGCAAATGAAAGCACTTTTTTCTGTAATTATACACATTTCTCATGTAGAAAAACTGACACGTGCTGTTGAAATTGCACTTCTTCATCTTATATTAACACATCTCAGTGATTGAACGTGTAGTTGACCATCTTCACACTGACAGAAAGTGGAGTTTCACTCGTCCAGCCCACTTGAGATTAGAGTGGGCTTTATGTGCCCCTGGATGAGTGAAATGACTTTGACATCCCTGCTCTGTTCGACTGAGATCTGGTAGCTGTGGAGGACATTCGAGCGCCATGAAATTCACTATCACATTATCCTGCTGGAAGCGCCCATCAGAAGATGGGTACGCTGCGATCATGAAGGGCTGGACAACAATAATACTCTGCTAGTTTTCTGCTTGATACCAAGTGGCCCAAAGTGTGCCAAGAAAGTATCCCCAACACTATTACATCACCACTGGCAGCCTGAACCGCTGATACAAGGCAGGATGGATCCATGCTTTCATGTTGTTTACACCAAATTTTTCCCACCCAAATCCAAGGATTGCAGTGGAAACGGAGACTCGTCTTGTTCTGTCATGTACGAACTGTAGCCTCAGTTTCCTGCTGCATTCAGAGCTGCTTCTCTGCATAACTTGGCTGTAACAAGTGTTTTTTTAGCCATCCTATCAGCTCGAATCAGTCTGGCCAGTCTCTTTTGACCTCTGACATCAACAAGGCATCTTCACCCAGAGAACTGCCGCTCACTGGAAATTTTCTTTCTCAGATCGCACTCTGTGAACTCTACAGATGGTTGTGCAGGAAAATCCCAGCAGATCAACAGTTTCTGAAATAGTCAGTCTGGCACCAACAACCAGTCGCTTAAAACACTAAATTCTTGACCGTGTCTACATGTCTAAACGCACCATGTTATTAACTTATTAACGAGCAGTTGAGGAGGTGATGTGGCTGGTAGGTGCTGGGACTGGTTCACCGAATGAATTCGTCAGCGCCACTCGGGCTCAGATGACCGCAGATAATATTTCACAGTTTATTGTGCGATGATTTAAACCTATGAAAACGAGCATGACATTTCTGGGGTTTCATGTTACATGAAGTTTGCACTAGACAGTGATGAAGTGCAGAGCAGTTTACTATTGCACATTCATTCCAATAAACTCTCTGAGTGGGTTTCTGTGTGTGTTAAAGACCTTGAATTCAGGCCTCTTCAAGGTCTCAGCTTTCCTCCAATCAACCACCCACTTTGTGAGGTCCATAAATAACATGGCAGCCAAACACACAATCATCGCTCATTTTAAAGTCAATGCAGAATAAGCAGCTGTCACAGTTGCTGTCCATTTCAGGCTCGCTGGACAGCCTCTCGAGCGCGGTTGCCTTTATTGTCCCCATTATATTAATCTGCTGAATATGTGTCTGAGTGATTGAAGGACAAAAACAAAAAGGGAACGTTGTCCTTTTTTAAACAGGAGGCCTTTTTGTCACCATCGTACAGGCAGTCAGAGCATATGGTCTCCTTGTAACCTTGTCTACTGCCTCCTGCAGCGCTCCCTCGCTTGTTTTGAGTCCTGCAGCAGTCCGACTGCCCATCGAGAAGCAGCAGAGCGTGTGCGCACGGATACTTCAGCCTCCTGCATGTGTGTTTGCTAAACTTTACTGCCCCTGCACATACACCAGTGTCCTGGATGATTATTTTTTATACACACACACACACACACACACACTCACAGAGAGGGAGAGAGCGCCAAGGAAACCTTACATAACTTGGTGGAAAAGATGGATGTAAAAGCAGTTCTTTGAAAGTCAAAGGCCCCCATGTCTGTCAAAATTTCCTGTGCAAAATGGCTTTTAGTCACAGTGTGAATGCCTCGGGGCACTTGGGAACTTTCTATAGCCACCTGGACAGCGGAAACGTGAAGTGTGGGGAGGATTAAACCTGTTCGCATGACTGTATTTGGTTCTGCATTCACACAAAGTGAAAATGAAAAGTTTCTCGAGAACACAATGTTCTTCTTTTTTTGCAGTATTAAATATGGAAGTGAGCAGATGCTGTCTTCCCTGAAGTGTCCAGTGTCGCGCTGGTGATAATCCTAAGGGGTTCCTCTCAGACTTCTGTGTGCGCATGCTCGTGTGTGTGCGTGTTTAACAGTGTCTTTCCCGTCCTCTCATGTATATTTTTGTGTTGTTTGCTTTTGGATTCCCCTCCACTGTGCTTTTCATCCTTGAACAACACGTCAGTCAGGTGCTCTCTGAGGACTAGAGCGAGAAAGGAAGAGATAGACGTGGGGACACCAAGAGAGGCAGAGAAAAGAGGCGGCAGACACGGGGAGAGGGAGGGAAAAAAGGCGAGTTTTGAAAGACTTCTAACTTCCAAGCTGACTGTCATAGTTGTGCTTGCCAGAGGGGAGAGCACCTTTAAGCATACTGGATGAGTAACGATGTGGAGGGACTACAAAAGCAAAGTAATACATAATAAGCAGCACTCGCTCGGCTCTGCTCTGCCAGCTAACCTACATGAGATTGGTGGCGAGAAAAAAATTGCAAGTGCTCAAAAGGTCAGCAAAGGCCTCGCGTAAAAGAGGCTCATCTTTTACGAGCGTGCGCGCACTGTAATAAGATTAAGAAAGCGTGGAAGCAGTTGTTACAGTGGGATGTTGGCCTTGAGACGACAAAGCCCCACAGATAATGTTGTGTCCAAATCAAAACACGACAAACTATCTTATCTGCCGTCCGTAAGCTCTGCTGCGGGGACAACAAACCTGCAGCAAACACACGTTTCCTCCGCTGGTTTTCTTTAAAATGACACAATAAATGCTATCATAGAAATAGGCCGTTGATTCATTTTGCAGTTTTTTCTTCAGTGCCACTAATCCTTTGACTCCAGGCCCAGTCCCTTTCTCACTCATTAGGCCTGAAAGGCATTTTATTCTGGCATGGATGATAAAAGAAAATCTAAAAATACGGCCGTGTTGTTGTACGAGGGCAGAGCGTTGCCTGTTGTTTGAACACAATGCCCTTTGGTTTGTTTTGTTGCACCACCCACAACTCAAACATTAGGGTGTTTGTGCCCGCATTGACATGCGGCCAGGTTTTCGCAGTCTTGTGCCAAAACTAACTGCCTGTATCCTTGCAGGGATGGACCGTGAAAATGCTGCTCGGTTCGTCCTTCCTCGCGTTTGTACGCAGCCGAGCAGGGAAATCATCCCTTTTGTCATTTTTGATCGCAGAGAGACGTGCGACGCTACAGCATCTCAGCTCAGCTGCGTTTAGTTCGGGTGCGAGTCTATAGCGCAAATCACAACTCGGTAATCTGGGCTCGAACACGAGCGGAAAGAGTAATGGTTCCTCTGTATGCCTCGTCGTTTCGGCTCCCTTCTTAGGATGCAGGCCGGCTCCTTTGTAGTCACTTCATTATGTAAAAATGATAATTATGCCCCAATGGAAGCCTCACCAAAATGTATCAGAGCCCTCATTCACATCCGCTGATAATCACGTCGTGACTGTCATTTGGAAATTTTCATTTTCAGAAAGTGTTTAAGCGAGACTCCCACACTGCAAATGAGAAAATAAGCAAACTTAAATTCCCTCACACCTCCTTCCCCCCAGAGATACTTTTACCTCTCAGGCAGCAACAGAAATTAATCATTTAAAGGGGCCGCACACCTCAAAATCACATTTACATATTTCCATCCTGGCCTGTAGCCTCACACGTGCGTCGACATCATTTGGTGTGAGTTTCCCAGCTTTTCAGACATCAGAAACAGAGACGGCAGCTGAGCTACATGGCACTTTGCTGTCAGGCTTCAAGCAACAAAAACCTCAAAGGGCTCATTCTACAGAAACATTTTGGCAAAAGGTCTTAAAATGTGTTTCTTTTTCTAACATCGAAGCTTAGACCAAGTTACAGATTTGTTTTGGCACATTTACTCCACGTGCTGCCTCTGCTGCTCCTTTCACAGGCCTCTGGAGTCACACAATAACAAGTGAGTAAATTATCCTTCACTTTCAGTTTTGGTGACTTTATGATATTTGAAATGAAAATATCTGAAGAACAGTTAAAATGAGTAATGCAGCAGTCCTTTCTATCTTACACTTTACCACATCAGCCCCAGCAGAGCGCTTTGCAGTCAGACTGCTGGCTTCCTTGTGGTTGTCAGACCTCCAGCTTTCAGGCCTCACTCCTGTGCAACCAGCTGCCAGCTTGGACTCTCTCTACTTTTAACTCAAAGCATTTTAGTTTTGGGCTCGATCAGGTGACCCTTGTTATCAGATATCTTCAGTGTTCACTAAACGGTCTCTCTAAACCACATTGTGCCTTTCGCCCTTTCCTTCCACTCATCCCCTTGTGGTTGCAGCAGATGGACGCCTCTCCTCGAGCCTGGTTCTGCTGGATGTTTCTTCCTGTTGGGTTTTTACTTCCCACCGTCACCAAGTGGTTGCTCACAGCGGTTCACATAATTCTTGGGGTATTCAAATCTTGCTTTTGCTATGGTGTGAGGATACAGTGTTTTAGTCACCCCACGTTTATTTTCTAAAGCAGAAGTTGTGTTAGTGAGAATAAAAACTGAATTTCACTCACCAACACTGAAGCCCTAATGTCTTGGATAGTTTATGCCACACAGAGTAATAATGTTGGTCAGATGGTCCATTAAAAGTGGTCCAACAGTGCAAACACAGTTTAATGATTCAAATTATTGGATGAAGTCTAGCAGATGCTGAACTTTGACCAACTCAATTATCCATTTAAATGAGCTGTAAAATACTATGAAACTAAAAAAAACCCTAAAATTTAGACTTACCCGCAGCAGCAGAGCCAAAACTACTGATAGAGGCCAAACTGCATTTTGTACCAGGCTCTCTCTGCTGTAACGTTTAGGATCAGAGTTGGTGGGGGGGTCGACGCCCTTTTGGAGCCAGCCTCGAATGGCTCCTAGTGGTTCTGCAGTTTTACCTTCACTGCCGAGCTCCCGAGGGCGCCGCTTAATTGACAGCTAACAGTCTGCAAACCTTGTTGTGAGACGTTTATGTAGGAACTACTGTGTTTCCACTCAACTCCATCCATCAAGCACAGAAAGCACTCTGATATAGCTGACTGATATTACAGCTCAGCTGATGGGTGAATCATCAGTGTTTACATCCCGTCAATCCCAAGGCTCTCCATCTCAAGCTGTCTGCACAGCGATACGGTTGGCGGGTGTATCCGAGTGGAAACTGTTTCTACAATAAACTGCTCATATGATGGTTTGTTTTGTGTTTTTTTGAGTCATCAGCCATGATTTCTGGAGCGACACTGCTGCTACATTTTTCAGATGCATTTCTGGCACTCTGAGCACCGCAAGGCGAGTTCCATCGAGATTCATTATGTTCAAGAGAGGCAGGCATCTCCAGAACCGGGCGACTCGCACCAAAACAATGTGCATGGGTAAACAGCACTAGAGGCTGGGAGCAAAATATGTAAATAGGGTTTTACTGAGAACTGTCCCTTTAACTTTAAAGATGTTTTTGTTTACTCCATATCAAAGTTACGGCTTTTAGGAACGGGAAGGAAAATAAGACGTGACTGAGTTGGTCACACATCTTTTTAGTCACATCGTAGAGCTTTGAACTCGAGGGCGAATCTCCACACACACACACACACACACACACACACACACACCGTATTAGAGGATAAATGGGCACTTGGTACTGCAGTAGCCTTTCAAGTGTGCTACAGGGAGGATCAGCAGACGTGCTACTGGCCAAATTATCATTCCAAAGTCTGAGAAGTAGCAAAGTCAATGACAGATTAAACTCAAACTGAGTCCACAGAGTGCTGCTCGTTGTACACTTGAAATTAAGCAGCAGCTGAGTCGAATGTTTAAACTTCCAAAAACAGAAGCACAAAGTCCTCTGGCTTACTCATTTCCTGTTCTACCTTTGACTGTGGCGTGGCCTTATAGGAAGTGGAAAGAAATGACCCCAAGTTGAATTGTTTGTCAGTCAGATGGGTTTGTTTTCAGAGTTTCCTAACAATGCTGGGAGCT